CCCAGAACACACTATATAAGATCGGATCAGGCAAAGAGAAAAAGAGAGGGAAAAAGAAGGTCAAACCACAAGAGAGAGAAGAGGGAGCGTGAAGCTTCTCAGTGACCCACTGCCAGGGTCGACTCATCCATGGTGAACTAGGCAATTGCCTACAGTGGCATTTGAGCAAGGGCGGCCAAATGTACCATTTCAAACTATTGTGCGACCAATTAGAAACTAGATCGCAGAGCACGTCATCCTACAAGCTTGTTCTAATCACTGTAAATGGCCGACGAATGTATAATTTCTAGCTTGTAGCACTGGCGCCAGTTTCGTTCAACTGGGTGAGAGATTTTTCCTGTGGACAGCGAAATACAAATACAAAAAGTGGAGACTGTTAAAAGAGGAGGGCACTCCAAAAACAGAAAGGCTCGTTCTTAAAATACATTACCTCAGAGTCAGGCTCAGTTATCAAGGATGATAATCTGCCAACATCAAGTAATCAAATCAATGATTCAGCTAGCAACTTTGCTCTGTTACAAGCAACTGCGGACATAGAGGGTTCTGCTTCCAAAGATAGCATTAGCAGCAACTCCATCTTGTCCAAAACAGAGACTCACCAGCCGCTAAGATTACAAGCTGAGGAAAATTTGAATGAAAACGGAAAATGGCCGTCAAAAAATAACCAAGGACTTTTTGAGACATTTTGACACGGAGGGGACCGCATCAAGTCAAAATAATCAATTTTCCCAGGGACAGCAGGCACAGAAAATTTTCCAGGTGTCATTATAGTCAGACTTTAGCAAATGGGGAGAGACTGGAAAGGCCATGGCTCATTTATTCAGTTAGAAAGGATGTTACATTTTGCTTTTATTATAAACTTGCTGGTGAAAGTGAAAGAAAATCAGCTCTGGCAAAAGATTGTTTTCATAAATGGAAAGAGCTGGACACAAGGTTGGCGTCTCAAAACACTGTAGATGCGCTAAATCTACAGAAAATATTAGCCGAGACAATGCATTGGCTGAAAGTGTTGCGATGTTTGGTAAGCCTAGTAAGAGTAATGGCCATGCAAAATATAGCATTCTGTGGTAGCACAGATAGACTGTTTGAGCATGATAATGGCAATTTCCTGAAACTTATAGAGACGATTGGCCTTTTTGATAATGTTATTGCTGAACACATAAAGAGAACAATTTCTGAAGAAAAGCATGTTCACTACTTGGGCAAAGGAACTCAAAATGAAATCAAAGCAATGCTAGCATCCCAGATTCAGCATGAAATTGTTACAATGCTCAAGTCAGCTAAGTACTACTTGTGGCCATCGCAGTTCTGCCACTCCGTCCCACAACACAAGGGCATGAACCCAGGTCTCTGGCGTAACTCAACAGACAACTAACCGAGTGAGCTAAAGGAGACCTCCATCAGCCCAGTTAGCTGAGATCCCTGCTATGTGCAGGATGGGCGATGATGTCACTGTGCTGAGACTAGGTCCAATAGAAGTATTGTATACTCAATACATTTAAGATTGTACGTTAGTAGAATCTAACAAATGACAGTGATTGTTTCCTTTGTTACAACACAGGAAAGCAGCGTGAAGATTGGAGAGCTTTTCTTAGAATTCACGGAGCAGACTGATTCTACAGGAGCTGCAAACCTTCGGATCAACAAACTTGGCGAGTTGGGGATTGATATTATGGACATGAGAGCTCAAGCCTATGCCAATGGATCAAATATGAAAGGTAAACAAAGTGCAAGACTAAGAATAAATCCAAGGGTGTTCTATGTGCCATGCAGTGCCCACTCTCTTAACTTGGTAGTTAATAACACAGCATCACGTTGTCTGCTGGCAGTGGACTTCTTTACGATCATCCGAGAGGTTTACAACTTTTTCTCTGCTTCCTCTTCTCACTTGGACGTATTGAAACAGCACATAGGTGAGCATGCCCTTACAGTCAAACCGTTAAGTGACACGAGATGGGAAAGTACGGTACACTTGCTCAAATCCATCCGACACCAATTAGGGGATATACAGGATGCCTTGCTCTCAATAGCAGATAATAACAGTCCAACTGGAGCTTGTGGAGTTAAAACCTGATATGAAGCAAAAGGCATTGCAGCTAAGATCAAAACCTACTCATTCATGTGTTCCATCATAACATGGTATGATATTTTTAAATTAGATAAATATTACCAGCAAAACACTACAGTGGCACAGTTGGATGTGACGAAACAACTCTTCCTAGATTATTGCACAGACAGTAATTTTGAGAGAGTTGACGTCCAGTGCAAGAGAATTGGAGGAGGATTTGGAAATGGAAGCCTGCTTCTCTCTACAGAGTGCAGTATGACCATGAAAGAGGTAGAACATTTTTCCCTACAAAGGAGATGGAGAGTCTGTCATGGACCCACAACAAAACTACAAAGTGGGTTTCTTTAACCAAATACATAGGGGAACTGTGCCATCCATTCTGTGGTGGAGTGCTTTTCTCAACTCTGTGAGCATGGGGGCATATTTGGAGTTATGTATGACATTTGTTTGACATTATATCTATAAAGGAGAGGAAAATTGCAACAGTTCTCCAAGAATGCGCAACACTGGAAAAGGCCCTGGCACATGGGGACTCAAGGGATGTTGATGGGCACGAACTTTTTGCGTAGTTGACTGATTTGAACAGACGTCTGGCTACTGGAACCAATCCACTGGATGCACTCAAGTTCATCTGTCACAATGGGATGGAATCAGTTTTTTCAAATGCATTTATGGCATTAAGAGTGCTTCTCACCCTTCCCATCTCTGTGGCTTCAGGAGAATGCAGCTTCTCAAAGCTAAAACTGATTAAAAAAACTCTGCAGTACAATGACACAGGATAGGCTTAATGGACTGACTACAATTTCCATAGAACACGAGCTGGCACAGAAAATTGAAATAGAAGATGCAATTAACACCTTTGCAGCCGTGAAGGCCCGGCGTGCACACTTCTGAAAGGTGAGCTAAATTAATGTAATTAAAATGCTTTTTAGTTGTTTTTTAAGTGTGGAGGCAATCTGTTATGTGCGCAGTTTTTTCTCCCATCAGCTAGCAGTGTGTGTGTGTGAATGAGAGTGTGTGTTGACGTGCGTGAGAGAGGTTCAGTGCATTACCAAGAAGAATTGCATTGGTATTGTTTTTGGAAGCTGAAGTGGGGTTTAGCTAGGCTATATACAATAGTGACATTGGTAGAAAGCATTTTGAACCAGCTTATTTGAGTGGTAATGCAGATACATGTTTGGTGCATTATTTCTACATCAAACTGTCATTAACTTCAACCTTCGGAAATCTTGCAGGGTTCAAGCTGGCCGCCATGGGTGTCTTATAGTCTACTTAACAAGTGTGCAAAGTGGAAATACAGTAGCGCTACAAATTATACATATTGTAGCCTACAATATTTACTGTGTGTGTGTATGTGTGGATAGAATTGCATAAGGCTTTTGTGTGTTGTAGTCTATTGGTTGTGAAGTTGCAAATTTAAAAGGGGCAGCACAATGTTGCCTAGAGCTGCAGAATGGCACATGCCAGCCCTGCCCAGTGCACTAAAGCTCTTCCTTGAAAGGGACCACCTTCCCAGGTAGCTTGTTCAATACTCTCATAACCCTCTGGGTCCCCTAATCTTGTTTCAAAAGCACATTTAGTTTTCCCATGTCCTCTGGTTCAAGATTCACCTTTCATTCTGAAGACATCCACTGGATTTACTTTGTCAATGCTTATATAGTGTATTTTAAAATAACAAACAGTACTCCAGGATCCAGATCTCTTCAGACAGAATCAATATACAATATTCAAGATTTAATTAAGAGGAAAAGGGCCCCCTAAGCTCAAAATAAGACTGACATACATCCAGGCTTTCTTGTAGGGAATCTGTGATTTATTAGAGATGCAAAAGTTATGATGCAAGACCAGGACTCACTGCAGGATGTGTCCACAGCTATGTAGGGAAAATAAATCTACATGAAATGCTAATGAGAGAACTGTATATTTTGACATTGTTTACTAAAATGTAAAAACAAGCTTTTCTGCATCCTGCCATGGTGTCCCTTTTCAATTGAGGAAAATATTTTTTTCTTTGTGTTCTTTGCTGTTGTTAAATTGTAAAACAGAAACCTCCGACCCTGGAGGCTACAGTTCCAATGCAGCAGTTGTCAGTGGTAACTTTTAAAAGACCAGCTTCCAATGACCCGGGACACCTTAGTTGCTGGAGGTTTAATAAAGTGATTCAGAAAACATTTGGCACATAAGACCTCGCAGAGCAGTATTCCTTCACTAAGGAACAGTACTTACTTAGATCACCAATTACTTACAAATGTTCCCAATCTTCAGAAACAGGTGATTAAAAAAGTTCTATTAAAGATCTAGACAACTGAAGCTCTCCAGGACCAAGGCTGGGGACACCTGTTTTAAAGGCATTCCTTAATTTTGTGAACTTCAGTTGTCTATTCTCAGGCAATTTCAGCTGAGACTGATAAACATCTACATCACTGATGAGAGGCAGACTGTCTGCTCTACAGATGCAATTTGGATGAGGCTGACATTAGAGGAGCCTTTGGATGTACTATAGCTGTGGACCAGTATTTAACCACTGTCTTTGAACACCCCCTTCTGGTGACAGAGAGGAAACAAAGATTTGCTCTGGATGCAGAGAGACCTTCAGGTACAGTATAAAACCAGACCAGTATTACCTTTATAAGGCTGACATTATTAAGTAAATATCAGATGGCACTGTTATCTGTAATGTCCTGTATTCCAGATGGATGTCAGAACAATTAGTCACCTACTATACCACAAATCACTTGTTACAAACAACAACCTCCTACCACCAGGTGTTTGTTCAATTGATAAGGGTGTTTCTAATATTTTGGCGAATAAATGTAATTTAAATGAGCTTTCAAATACTATTTACCTGCATTTATATGCTATAATAAAAACAAATTTCAAACTTCATCAAATTATATGAAGTGTACTATCAAAACATTGTATAAAGCAAACACAGTGTTTTAAAAATTTATTATGAGAATGACTTATCTTCTTGTTCAAAATATAAGACAATTTCACTTTACAAGATGGAAATACCAACAAATACACGCTCAGTCCATAGAAAACTAAAGCCACACAGTTTTCAGATTCAGATAGATTAACAAAATATACAGATCCAAAGCTACAACTGATCATTTCACAGCAAAATGTAAACATTCAATGAAAATAAAAGATTAAACAACTTTTAAACTGCTAATTATGTTTCTTTCCTTCAGATTTACAAGACTTTTAGAACTTTGCTGGTGTTCTTTATTTTTATAAACAAGAGAATATGGTTTAGTTGGAGAAGTTTAGATGTATGATGGGATGTTTAAAAAAGCATACACTTTGTAAAACTAGTAGTACGCTAGACCTTTTTATTCATCCAGCCACTCTCATAGTGTGTTGACTTGTGTTTACAGTATATATTGTTCTGTATTTTAACCGTGTACAGTACACAGGTGTTCTTGAGTGCTTGTTCAATATCAAGAAACATCTGTCTGAAATCATGACATGTTGCAAAGTATTTAGAAACAATCAATTGATCTACACTAGAGAGTTCCACTTTCAACTACATTATTGTTATTTGTGTTCTTGTGAGCATTCACCATTTAAATGTTGCAGTGTGTGAAACTGTATTTTTGTAGAAACTGCTAGGTATCAAAGCATGAATCTGTCCTAAAAATAACTTGTTGATATTCTAAGTAAAAGCTGCAACATCTTGCTCTTCAGAATCTAATGTTTTTCATTTGATCTTCCCTTTTAATTATTTAGATTAATTAGACTCTCTTGTTATCCCTTATGTCTTAAGATGCTAATGAATTCAAGAGACTGATAAAACCTTCCATAGATCTCACCTTCTATAACTGTACTTTAGTGCTCTATGTTTTTTTCCAAAAATGTAATAGTGACAAGAGACTCTCTAAAAGAAAAACTTTGTAGTTATCATAATCCTATGAGTTCTCAACTAAAAAAACAAACAATTAAGGCATGCAATTTTCTTTCCTTGAAGATGCAGGAAAACCTGTAGGATTTCAAATGTCTTCATTTAAGGGCATCTTACTGGATTTGAATTACTATACAAGTTAGCAATGCTGCTTTACGGTAAACAGAACTCAGTGGAATTTGATATTTAACATGATTTTCACTGCTCCTTTCAGAACTACAAATTGTTGTGTTTAAAGTAAATGCATGCTGATCCAGAGTTACCACTTTACTTAAGGAAAGATAAAGAAACACATATTGCAAAGCCACAGACATTGACAATAGCATGCGTATCATAACCTACATAAATGTTCTTATGGACTGCGGGATTTCCAAAGATGTTTATCAAAATTAATCAAATAGAAAAAATAGTTCTGATAGTTCAACACCCAGGAGATATTCAGTACACTATAACAAGTTAAAGAGCAAGTACGGTTTAGAAAAAAATACAAACAAGTTTGCTAGTACCACTGTTTAAACAACTTATTTTTTCCTTTAATTGTTCACATTCATGTCTGTAACTTGCATTTGGAGGTGGAAAGGTACACTGCAGAACACAAATCATTCAGCACCAATCTACTGTTTTCATTCAATGGTTTTCATTCATTATGTGTTATCTTTGCAGAAACACTGTAATGATCATCTACTGAAATAGCCATTTTGTTTAAAGCTGATTAATCTTATAGTACAAGATGTAGCCTTTTGCGTTGATGGATGTGTGGAGATTAACAAATGATGTTAAGGATAAGAATCGCCTGACTTCATATTGATGCTCATGTGTAGTTTACATTGAGTTGCTGTGATCAAGTTTTTAAAGGTTTTTCAACTTGTGATTTAAAAATTGCTATATGACAAGCTTTATTTATTCTCACTCAGGCTACTCTGTGTTAATAGAACACAATTTAATAGAAAACACTAGTAGGTTGGGGTTTAATGGCTAGTATAGGCTTTAAATAAACTTTTTATGGGCATGTGTCTAAGATGTCTAAACTTCTGCAAAGAAATGAATATCCTCACATTCCATCCTATCCTATTTTTCTCAAGCTGCTTGAAGGGACTACAAGAATGTCCATTTCGTTCAAATCCAGAAAGGTCTATTTTCTATGGACGGCAAGTTACATGAAATAGCAGCCTCGTGGCCACACCCACTAACTGCAGTTAGCGGAATTTGGCATCTTGGAACTTACTATTTTGGATTTACAAGGTGAAAAACTTGTCAGGGTTTGAGATGATGAAAAGAATAATCAGTGGCACATTACAAAAACAGTGGGTGGCTTAAAGTGGAATGCTTTTTGGGAACCATGCCATTTGCTCTTTAAATGGTTCCTTTTGATACTGTATCTGGACACAATGTTCTTTCACAGTACAAAGCTTCATGGTGACAAAGTGCTGGAAACTGCTTCCTCAGTGTCTACAAGAAAGAGCTAACAGTGGAACCCCAGTTGAAAGGAGTGAACTTCTGTGCTTGCTGCGCCCCAATCTCAGCCACATAAAGAGCCCCAGTCTTAAGGTCCAAGTCTACAAGGTGAGGCTTGATGTCATCGGCCAGCTGGATGACACTGACCACCTTACACTGTCCAATCACTCCCACCGGTGGTGCTTCAAGGATAGAAATCTGATTGGTGTTCAGCTGGGCCACAATGAAATACTTCTGATCTGGCGTCAGCCTAGGAAACACAAAATTGCACCATCAACAAGAGGAAAATGGAGGCACCAATGGATACCTTCCATAACTAGAGGTAACTAGGCACTATTCTGACAAGACATCCACACTCAGATTATCCTCTGTTATTCTGACAAGCAGAGCCTTCCATGAACCTCATAAGTAATAAAAAGCACTTTAATCTATGGGCTGTCTTGAGATTTGTAAATGCCTAAGAGAGGTTAGTGTGTGCCGTTTGTTGTTCTCTAATAAGAACCTATTCTGACACCAGCAGATAGAAAAGAAACAATGATTCAAAGTAGAGCACTGCCTGAAAGCTGTTTATAGCGTTACATATTCATAACATAACCAAGCACACAGAAGAGTATAAAACACTGCAGTTAACCATTTATTAACCTTCAAGTTTTATATGGCAAATGAGATATTATATATTATATACAGTAATACGTGAGGTATTAATTTAAAACTCTCACTCAAAACCCAGGCAAGCAGGACTTAATAAAATGTTTCTTTTAAAATTATTTTTGTTTATGTAGTAAGATTGCAATGCACTAATGCAGACTATACATGCAGTTAAAAAGTCGCTAGAATGCATAATTTGGGAGCAGGACTTTTTATAGTTAGTTTCAAACATATTTGCACTTTAGTAATTAAGGTAAGTGGACATCTCTTGATAATTTAAGATAAATTAGAATTTAAGACATAAAGCAGCAGCTATTCATGCGTTCAGTCCAGTTTTATCAAAAAATAAATAAATCATCATTAATAAAGTATCTATCTAAAATACCAATGCAATTTTTAGTAATTCATCCATATATCTGTTCATTAACTTAAATGTGTTTTATGTATTCTTTCAAAATCTAAAGCTATCTTCTTGGAGAGTAATACATTTTAATCAAAGTAAGGCTCTGTAATGTATTTCTAGATAATTTAACATGAACCTCATGGAGGAATCTACTAAACTCAAAACAAATTGCATGTTACAATACTAAAATAGCAGTGCTTTTGACTAGTAGGATCAAAGACACAGAGTGAAACTGACTTAACGAGGTGAATAGAACACTAACTACTGTATATACAATGGGTCAATGGAAGTCATCGGTATCATTAGATTTTACCTAACAGAGTATGGTGCGTCCTCTGTGAAGCAGCTGCCCCACGATCCCAGCCAATCCCCTGTCACAGTGTTAAAGACCTGAATCCGTTTGTTTCCTCTATCAGCAACCCATACCTGGAACACCAGAACAGACAAATCCCGCCCAATTATACAGATTTGTTGAAATCTTGTTATTGTGACTGATCTTATTGATCCTTGCCCACCTCCCAGATATGTTGCTGTTTTTCAATTTCAAAATGAAATCCTCCTACAATCCCACCCTCCTTCTCTGCACTCTGTCAGTTTCTAGATTTAAAAATTTGATTAAAAATTTTAAAATTAAAATTAAGATCTGCAAGACCTCAACACCTGAAGTAGACTCACCGCACAAAATTCTAAAAAGTAGAATTTCTTCTTTCTACTTTTTAGTGTAGAATCAACCTTTATTTGTTATTTATCTTGAAATATTGTGGTGAAATTAAAAGGTCTGCATTTATAAATGTGCAGAGATAGGAATGGTGAAAGTAACCGTTATTAGGAGGTTTACGTACACATTATACAGATTTGAAAATCAGGGAAATTTACAATACTTTAATTTTGAGAAGCCCATTATGTCACGGATGTCGGAGAGGCATGCCGTGGAAAGGCAGGAGAGTGAAAAAGACCCTATGCGTATTGACAAAACGGGGGTTAGCCCGGGCTCAGCAGGTCAGACGATGTTGGGTAGAAACCTATGCCCTCAGGCCGTGAAGGAGATGACCTTGTGCTAGGCGGGTCTCAAGACATTCGAGCCCCCAATGCTAAGCGAGGAGGAAAGGGTGACCCAGAAATATATGGCCCCAAACAAAGACACACCGGAAGGACAAGCAAAGCACAGGGAAACTTGGAACAGAACAGAGTAGGAGCGCCCTCTAGCTGTAGAGGGCGTGACACAATACTTTTGTAACAATGTTCTCTGAGCTTGTTAGAAGGTGACAGAACCCCTCATGAAATTTGGAGGGTGTTGAATTCTCTGAGGGGCCGGAGACCCAGCGTTTTGGCGTATAGGTATTCACCACTATCGGAGGAGGTACTGTGTGGCTCTGGGCTAAGAGGGTCCTGATCTAATCCCAGAAGGGACAGAGCTCTTTCTCCTTCAGGTGGTGTGTAAAAGTACCTGCTGTGAGTAGAAACATACCCTCTGAAAGGAATCCACTGCCACGCTGTGAGGGATGAAGAACTGAGCGGGACCGCTTCCCTGCTCTCCATGCATCCAGAGCAATTGCAGGTCTGTCAGGGAAATATCAAACAGCACTGATACGGTACACACACAGCCCTCCTCCACAGGAGAAAAGGGCAGCACTCAACATAACCAGAAAGAGCAGATGAAAGCTGGGTAATCCTTTAAAACCTCACGAGCTAGAAACCCAGAAGATGAGCATGTATTATATTTGAATATGTTACTATTTACTGTAATTTGTGTGCTTAATATTTTAAAGTGGTAATCGATATATTTGAGTTGAATACTGTGGTAGCAGTAGGTTACATAACAGAGATATAAAAATATGAGTTGCATGTGAGGTATTACTGATGCTTATGGACCACCTAAGGCGCTCTTCCAGCACGATTAAGCAGTTCTTTCATGTACCCTAAATTAAGAGTGAGGAATAAACAACAGATGCTGCCCTTCAGCTGGTCACATTTTCTGAAGCGCTCAAGCGGACAGTAAGAAAAGGCTTGGGGATTATAATTGATCAAAAAAGACCAATATTTCTGCACCTTTGGAGAGCTTTATCAGCCTGTTATTCACACCCCCATCACCATCAACAATGTAGATTTCCCCAGAGCTGTGCACAAAAATCTCTGCGGGCTGATCAAACTGGAGGGGGTTCACTCCAGAGCCGGCTTTTCCAGCAGACCCTAAAACCTGGAGGAGCTTGCCAGAGGGAGTGTACTGCTTGATGGTGTGTCCGTATGGCCCTGCAGAAGAAAAGGAATAAGAGGTTGGACAGAGCACGATCCATTTTCAAACATACCACAAAGATAGCAAAGGGATTCATATGCACAAATAGAATCTTTTCCTCCGATATTTAAATTCTGTCAACATAATACTTAATACTTAATAACTGTGATCTCTCCTTTGTTTACCCACACACAGAGTAGCAATTATTTTCACTTTGTGCTGGTCTGCACTGTTCCACTCACCGCTGCCTACATCTGTTATCCATATAGAAGGATTCAGGGAGGCATCAGCCAGGAATATGCCGTGGGGCATCTCGATAGTTGACGTATTCCAAGCTTGAAGGAAGTCCCCATCCGTGGAGAAAACCAAGACCTTTGGCACATTGTCTCCTCTCTGGGAGAAAATGGATCAAATCTCAAAGTGCCATTGTTACAAACATGCAGGGGATCTAAGTAATCGCACATGTGAGATCCCTACAACCCTCCTAGGGTTGTAGTGTGGGATATGCTTGTATGCGCACTAAATAACTGCTGCATTCCATGCTACAATCTGAAAACTGCTTATCTGCAATCTCATTTTTACAGTACATACATGCTATAATAAATTTCCTTTTAGAGTTCATCTGCTGCACTAAATAACCTACTCCCAGTACTTATGATGATAATAATAATAATAATAATAAACTTTATATAGCGCCTTTAAAGGTGGCTTCTCAAAGCATTTTACAGATTAACAACAACAATAAATAACAAGAATAAAAACACAATTAGAATATACAGAGGAGACCGTCAATGGTGGTACTAAGAAAAGCACAGGGGTGAAGGGGTGAAGACGATAATAGTTCAGACAGGTACTGAGGTGCCAAGCCATGCAGAGCCTTATAAGTGAGCATGAGGATTTTAAAGTCCACACAGAAAGCAGGAAGCCAGTGCAAGGACACCAGGATAGGAGTAATGTGATCACTTGCACTAGACCTGGTCAGGATTCTGGCTGCTGAATTTTGGACATACTGCAGTTAGTTCAAACTAGAGTTAGATATCCCAGTGTTGTATTTTTAAACCGTAGACTTTTCAAGCCTCCTTCGATAAAGGTGTTGCTTTAATCAACAGATGGTAAAACAGTGAAAATTAACTAAGAAGTTAGAATGGTGGAGAAATGACAGACATAAAAACAAGAATCCACATGTAGTAGCGCCATGACTTACTTGTGCAACATACACCACTCCGGTAACATGATTGACAGCCACCCCAAACACTTGTCCCGTAAAATGCTCGGGGTTCTTGGGCCACGTGATGTCTAGTTTGTACAGTGGTTTCCCCGTCAGTTTGTAATCTGCCTTTAGAGAAGACTCATCAGACAGCTGGAAAGCAGGAACAGGATTAAGGAAGTGGGCTTTAAAGGTCTCATACTGAAAGTGATAAGATTACATAATGCATGTAATAAAACATGCTTTTATTAATAATACACCAATAGTTAACCAGTGATAGCGCTTGGTTGCAGTCCTGCAGGTTTGTCAGTAGTGCACGAATCATAGTCAAGATCTAATCCACGGTGATGATCACCAAAAATGGCCCTTTATAATGAATAAAGTACAGGCTAGAATTTTAAAGAACTGTGCTCATTTCATGAATAGACTAATGCAAGCAGCACAACATGCGTTTTTTCTCATGCGACAACACCCGATTTGTCATTGAACGTTTTTAATAAAACGTGTACACGAATATGAAATATCTTGTAGATGATTGTAGTCAACGGACTGTGCAGATAACGATACTGGAACGACTGTAAATAATACAGTAAAACGTTCATATTGCTTTTATACTCACGTGGGGATAGACAGTCCCGTACAGCACCAGCATAAGAAGCAGAACTACAGCCACCATCATCACAGTCAGACACGAATTATTTTTTCTTTTCATATCCTAGTCGATCCGCTTCTTAAAATTACCAACCTCGACGTGAAGCAAGAATTAATCCTAACCCTTTGGGTTTCCTTATTTGTTCACGTGTGTAAACAGGGAACTGCGACAGCGCTGACAGGTGATCCACTTAGAAATGGATGTTGGGAAATGTAGTTTTTAAGTCTTTATTTTTTTGAGTGCGTTAGGGAAAACGTCTTTTTCTGATACACCATGAACAAAAGTAACATACTCATACAGTTTAACGATGTGCCAAAGACTATACAATTACTTAATGCGGAAGAAAAGTGTTTGTTATATGTTAGGTTTATTTAACAATAACTTCATGTTTATGTATTTTTATGTTTATTTTTGCATGCACTGTATCGTGGGTGTGAGACGCTTTAAAAAGGGTTTTTTCATTAACCCAGAAATTGTCATTAATCTAAAATAAAAAAAATACATATAAAACTTTATACCTGATTTCTTATTTGAGTCCTACCCTGTTTTTTAAAGCTTATACGGCAAATGTCATACTGTGGTTTATATGTGCAAAAAGGATCAAATGTATCAGGGCTAATAATACGAAGGAGCCACACTAGAATTAATGAAAGTTAAAAAAGCGGGTGGAAGACAACTCAGAATAAGAAGTCAGTCTAGTACCTACAGTACTACTGATTAGGTAACGATTTCCTACTGAACGAACTGAAGAAAAACATTAAGAAGAAGTAGGCTGGGGTTGTACGTCACTTATTTAACGTTAAGGAAAGAATGCAAAGCGTTATTTTTTTTATTATTATGGTTCAAATTCAAGCAGGAATTTATTTTGGCAGACGAACGAACTCCGCCAAGAAACCAGAGGGAACTCTTCAGTCCGGCTACACGACCTGAGTAACAGTCTTCGTATTCCGATTGGCTAATTCAATTCCCAGGGAAAAAACGGATTCGTCCAATTGGCTGGTTCAATTCTAATGGAAGGGTGATGCAGCCAATCCAGACGCGGTTGAGGAGGAACAGCGGGAAACTCAAACCGGCGCATGTTGGGGCGGTTGTGTGTGATTGGGCGTATAGAGTATTTTTGTTTCCTTTTTTAAAATTCAATCTAATAATATGACTACAATCAATAATACAAAAACAAGAACGGATCTTCAATCTCAAACGACTGAAGGATCACAGCAGAGGCTCAGGGGTATGCATAGGATGCTCTGCTTTAAAAATGAACACTTCGTCTGTTTTTTTTTGTGCAGATAACTGTAATTTCATATTTTGTGCGATTGATGTGATCGATTGTTATTGTAGCTCCACGTTTTAGAATTCTCAGTACTGCAGCACGTTTTAAAACTGTTTTTGTGACTTCTAAGCGCGGTTAGATATTAAGTAGCTGAATAAGAAGAGGGCAATTCTGCACTCACGTTTTGTAGATCTTGCACTGACGCAGCTCCCTGCAACTTCCATTGACAGTATTTGTGAAGTTCCGTAATTATCTTAATATAATTAATAATATAAGGAAGTTATCGCATTTACACAAACTAAGGTCCACTGTATATTGTAATGTACAATAATTTGGACTTTAATTTCCTTTCCTAAATCCTAAGACGAAAGGCGCCAGAAGCTGGGGGAATATCGAGAGAAGAAAAATAAGAAAATCACCGAGAAGATGGATTCCGGGTACGAATACTTAACTGTTCTTTTACATGTCGAAAAGACTGTAGGTCAGATTTATGAAGGAGATATTTAATTGGATGCGTATCTCAAAAGCTTTAAAATAATCACTGCATCATGTGACAGTCCATGTGTCTATTACCATATTAGAAATGCCTTTGAAAGATTGTTTTTATACATCTTTTATCTAACACCATGATAACCTCAAAATTGTTGCAATTATAACATATGTAACCTTATGCTTTAACTGGAAACACCGATAACCTCGCATCTGTAAAAAGTTGTTCATGTTTGAGACTCTTCTTTTGCTAACAGTTTGTCCTTGAGATTCTGACAAGGCAGAGACTGCAGGTAGCTACAGATTACGTTTTTGATAACAAAAAGGCAAGAAAGGAATATTATCCAGGTGCTAGAAGAGGGGGCTACGTGGGAGTGAGAATTGTAACTTCTGTTATCTGGCTGTAAAGAGCTCTGACAGGGGAACCGGGCAGAGCAAGAAAAAGGAGAGAAAAACTTTGTCTTCCTTTCATGCTGCTGTATGGTGCCTTAACTTCAGCTGAAATAAAGGTCTAATGATCGCTTCACCTCAAGCCTGGACTGTCGGTCTCCTGAAAAGGGGTTTTCCTCACCCATCTGCCTTTTCCATGAAACCATTCTCTTTCCATATGTTTCTGTGCAGAATCCCTTTCTAAACACAGGAACAGAGAATAAAGGTAACTAATAAATAGTAACGGTTAAACATCAGTGATGTATTTGGATGACATTTAAAAAAAAAGGTTTATATAACACCTTTTTAGCAAAGGGTTTGCAGGGTTTTCAGTGCTTCCCAGTAGTTCAAAGGCGCTGAATCCAACTGGGTATTTATTTGTTGAAGTGGCAGGAAGGTGATTGTGACAGACTTGGAACAAGGCTTCCTATGTAACGCACATTTAGTATATTCAGTCTTTGCTTTTCTTTTTTTTTCCTTTTCCCAGCTTGAAAGAGAATGTCCGCCGTACACTAAACGCCAAAACGGTAAGCTTAGCATCCATCACCATAATGGCTGATGAAAGAGGAGACCTAGATGACCTCCAAATTTGGTATTTGAAACTTGTTTTCATGAAGCCCAAAAAAACATGTCAAAACTATTCTTGAACTTGATAGTCCTTCTAATATGTTAGTCTTGTTCTTGCAAATTCATTGTTAGCCTATCATGATGTTGTGGAAGATGAATGTTTCCATTGAATTTTCAGCAAACTTGAAAAATCTGTATGTTTTGTACGTTCTCATTGTTATGTGTTTTTTTTTTTATTGTTGCTCCTTTGTAGAGCGATAAAGAAAATGCCAGACCAAAAAGTGAATCCCGGGATCCTATTCCTTCCCGCAAAATCAAAATGGCCACCACCAAACCGGCTTCACATCCTGCCAATACCGGAAGGGAGGATGGGCAGAAGGACGTGGGTAAAAAGGGGGCTTCGGCAGAAGTAGGTGGCACTGGTGCTGAAGGGAAGAGACGCCCCACCCTGAGCCACTCTTTTCTTGCTCACAAGACAATTCAACAGAAGAAGCTCATCACGGAGACCGCAAAGCAGCCCCAAACTTTGCCGTCCAGACCGGTCTTGGGCACTTACAAAGGCAAGATTGTCCAGTCCAGAGTTAGTTCGTTTAGAAATACCGTTGCCGGTGTCGGTGACGCTGAGAATCCCTGTTCGGACGCAAAACCCAGGGCTCTCAGACAAGGGGGCCCGAGGCCTAGCTGTCAGCCCACTGTACCACAGCCACCCAAGGCAAAGTCCTCCACTGCTCTCAGCGCCAAGCCCACTGTTGCCAGCAGACCACCAGTACACTCTGTCAGGTCGGCCACTGTAGGACCTGCACCCCGACAGAATGCTGTACGGGTCCATCGGCCTTCCGCTGCCAATAATCCAGGTGGTTTTAGCAGTGCAGCCCGAGCTAGATCTAACGTCGGTCCTGTGAGTCAACCACAAAGTAATCTGGTGGTGAAGAAGCAGGATCCTCCACCGAAGGACAAGCCCAAGGATGCTGCAGGCGCTTCCAGTACGAAAGGAATGAAGGGGGTCGCTAGCTCCATGAGCCAGTACAGGGCTCCGAAGGAAACGCATGAGGAGAGGAGGTCAGTGATTGAATAAGTGACTGTCTGGTTCTTCTTCCAGATCTGGGCTTTAGAAAAAAGCCGGCGTTGGTTTGTATTTTTGAAAGTATGAAACCTGTTTAATTTTCCTCTAATCCCTGAATTCCATATTTTTTAATTCACTGAACAGACAACTGTTTCCTTTTATAATGCATTGCAGACAGCCATGTAAAAGTTATCAGAGAGTGATGGCAGTCCAGTGTATCCTCCTTTAACACGGAAAACTGTAGAGATTTAACACTGTACAAACACATGCTGATAATGCATCACCCCTCTCCTCAGGTTGTATTGTATTTTTAGCTGGGTTGCTGTCATATTTTAGACTTTCAGAGTCAACTGTTGGGCATATGCTATACAGAAGATTATAATGTGTCGGTGGGTACGAATCTATTAGAAAATGGAAGGAATACTGGTCACTAAGTGGTGTTTCTTTTCAGTTTTACATGTCTCCCAACCAAAATCTCCCCAGAATTTTAGAAAGATGGGAAATGCAACAATGAAAGATTGTACTTTTTGTTTAATCACTAACCACTTCTAGAAAGATCTGAATCATTACTTAATTTATTTTGTCAAGCTTTGAGTTGGACGTTGACCTCCCTTTCTTTGACACTGTACTCAAGTCACTTTCAGCTTTCTGATAATAGACAGTTGAAACCGTATGCACCCATCGATCATTCCTGTTTGTTGTTTTCCAGAGCTAGGCTGGCTGAGTGGTTAGCGGCAAAAGGCAAAACTTTGAAAAGACCATCAATGGTGGCATCAGTCCCACACACGGTGAGACAGACAACTAAAAAGGAGTCGGCGCTTCCTCCCGCCTTAAACACAACCTCGGACATAAAGGATAGCTCAGTGCAGGGCTTGCCTGTTGTTAATACAGAAGAGGTAAGTAAGGTCACGAGGAAACAAACCTAGTGATATGCCGTGTCTTTAATCTTTATTCACTCACTTTCAAGATTTTAACTTGCTTTGGTTGCACACCCCTGTGCCGTATATCAACTGATGTTTATGTGATGGACTTGAAAATCTGTCAATATTATGTGAAGAATAAAAAAAAAAAACTACAGGCAAACCACTTAAACAGTTGAAGCATCATGTCATACAATAGGATTTTTGGTCTTTAAGCATGTCAAGGAGAAGATGGCTTCAATCCATGGACAAGAACAAAAAAGTTTAAGTTCCACCCTTTAAAATTTCAGTGTTTGTCTTACACCTGGGCTATATTTTGGTAAAACAAAATGCACGTCTTTCTCACTGTTTTCCTCACTTTGCATTATCTTTATAACGACTTTGTTTTTGCTATTTTTTTTTATATGAGCCTTTGTGGGTGGTATGGCGGACCAGTAGTTAACATTACTGCCTCAAAGCACTGGGGCCCTGGATTCAATTCAGTTCCAGCCCTGGGGTGCTATCTGTGTGGAGTTTGCATGTTCTCCCCAGGTTTGCGTGGGTATCCTCCTGGTACTCTGGTTTCCCCCCACAGTTCAAAAACATACTTGTAGGTTAATTGGCTTCTGGGAATGATGGCCCTGGCCTGAGTGGGTCTGCGTCTGTCTTGTGATGGACTGGTGTCCCCTCCAGGGTGAATCCCCCCCTTGCGTCCATTGCTTGCCAGGATAGGCTCCTGCTCCCCTGTGACCCTGTATTGTGGAAATTTAATAATGGATGAGTGGGCTAGCTTTTGTAGCTCAGTAATTTTATTGAATATTCAAATTTAATATTATAATAGCATTTTTGGGATCTCTGTATGGAGGCCTACTTAATAAAATGCATCACGCCATTTTGCTTTTTAACAGTTTGCCACCGAATGAAGTTCTTGAAATGTGAGGACTGTTTTTATGAATGAGAAAGTTCTGCAGTTCCCTTTTCACAATCTAACCATGTCTTGCATGTGTTAACTGCAGGCTGTTCAGGATCTGTGCTCTGCGCTGGCTGCAATGCCAACACCTTCGTCTGCTGAGACAGGTAAGTCATAATTGTGCTAGGGAACTCTGCCCACTGTCTTCCTACTGTACCTTTTCTGTTTGGCAGCAATGGCATGCCTCCTGAATAACGCAGGGATGCTTGCAGCCCTTCCGGTCTGTTCCACTTCAGTACTTCTCCTTCTAATCCTCAGTTGAACAGTTCAGAGTTTGGTTGCAGAACAAATTGTGCTATGGAGTGGAGTTGAAGGGTTGCCCTTTGAATAGCTCTAAAATAATAGGCTGGTGAAAGGCCCTCAGTTGCTATGCAATGCAGTGAGAAAAGTAATGTATTTTATAATAAAAGAAAAGATAAATGAGAATTAAAGAAGTATTAAATGCATGCCTTAAGTGCTTTTGCTTACTAAAGGGATACTTTTTGTGACTAGTCTTTTTTTAAATAAACATACCTTTAAATTGCATGAAATAAATTACAGTGAATAATTTAAATAACAGATGACCACCACTGTGCATAGTGCACCATTACGACTGTGCATCATAACCCTTGTGCAGATTCACAGGAAAAGACTGGGAAATGATATGTGGAAGGTTATCAATATTATTTGGAAGATATCGTATCCAAAGCAATTTACAGTAATATATATGAGGTTACTGAGGGCATGGTGGTGCAGAGGCTAGCATTGCTGCCTCGCAGTGCTGGGGCCCTGGGTTCAATTCCAGACCTGGGGTGCTACCTGCGTGGAGTTGTTCAGAATGTTCTCCCCATGTTCACATGGGTTTTCTCTGGGAGCTCCAGTTTCCTTCCCCAGTCCAAAGACATACTCATAGGTTTATTGGCTTCTGGGGAAATTGGCCCTGGTGTGAGTGTCTGTGTGTGCCCTGTGGTGTCCTCCTTAGCGCCTATTTTTTGCTGGGATATGCTCCCCCATTACCCTGTATTGGATAAAGCAGTTAGAAGAGCGATGGACAGATATAAAGTTACTTAGTAAAATATGTTATTATCAGATATTCCGGAAGGTGTAGAAGGCGAAAAGGTGGAAGAGGATGTTAAGATAGAAGAGGAGAAGAAAACGGTGGCACAGAGAGGGCGCTCTAGCCAGTTACAGCAGACCCTGAAACTGGAGAGTTCCAGCAGCGAGGATGAAGAGACAGACGAGGAGGAGGACGAGAAAGCGACAGGCGAGGCATCAGTGGTCAAGTACAGTGTGAAGACCACACCGTATCTGCAGAGGTGGGTTGTCCTGTCCAGTACTGTTCCACAGATACGCTACAACAGTGCTTTTCTGCCTTCCTAAATGTAATAACATCCCTGGCTGAACACCGAATGAACACTGGAATGCATTTACACAGGGATGGAAAAGAGCAGTCATTTAAGAATAAGAGTCACTGCAACTCATCCATGAGTGTTTTTAGAGTCAAACATAATCAAACACCTTAACTAGGCAATGTGTCTAAAATAAGGATTCAACTGAAGAAATGAGAACTCAAGAAAAAAAAAACTGGAAGAGAATGACGAAGGTTCAGAATCAGAGCTGTTAGAACCATATCTGAAAGGTGTGGGTTAGGTAGAGAAACCTTTATCTTATTTTAACTAAAGAGTTCACTGATAATTTTAGGAATGTGATTTTGCGTAGAATGTGTTTTACCATTTCTGTCATTGAAAAAATACTGATTACTAAGTGGCGTTTCTTTTCAGTTTTACATGTCTCCCAACCAAAATCTTCCCAGAATTTTAGAAAGACGGCAAATGCAGTCATGAAAAACTTGAGAATTTTTTAATCACTAACCCCTTCTAGAAAGATCTGAATCATTAATGAATTTATTTTGTCAAGCTTTGAGTTGAACATTGAGCTCCTTTTCTCTGACAGTTTCCTTTCTAAATTCTGGTGCCCACTTTTTGCCTTTCCAGTGTGAAAAAAAAGATTCAAGGTGAAGGAAGCAGAAGTGCCATCAGGGACCTGAAATTTCTGACACCAGTGCGGCGCTCCCTCCGCATTCAAAGGCAGTCATCCCGGCTTCCCAGCATGCTCATCGACCATGACCCCTGTGTGACCTCTTTGGCTGAGCTGGTGGGCCTAGACGGAGATGCTAGCGCCTACATCTACAGACAGAACCCTAGCCTTCAGGTGGTGAAGGACCTGCCTGATCAAGTAGAGAGAATGGACAAGGTTTAAGAAAGTCGAGGATTGAATGGATCAAAGTGCACCTTACTATAAAATTTAAACCCCTGTCGTTTTTAATTTATAGGATTAATCAACCTATTAATCCTATAGGTTATAGGGCTATAGAGCTGCCTCCACTTTTCAAAGTCTCTTTTCCTGATTTTGATGATTGTCAAATGTAGCCAGAAGTATCCCCAGTCGTAGAAGGCCAGAGTCCTGCAGACTTTATAATTCACTTTTATATTAAACTTGAAACCTGGTCAACTGGAGTTTCCAGTTCTAGATTTGAAGCTCTAATCCAACAGGTTATGTGTCTGCTGGATTATGTTAAACCACTAAACTAGCAAAGGTTCCATGACTTTACAAATTAATCTTTAGTTCAACCAGCTAAGCAGTTGATTTAAGTTGGTAAATACACTAATTTGGAGCAAATCTTAATATTTAAAGCCCTTGAGAACTACAACTTCCTAGTGTTTTTGGTTATTGGAAATGAGTTATTTAATGTAATTTGTAAAACCTGACTGGATCAGGGCTCTCCAAGACCAGGACTGGAGACGGTTGTATTGTGGATGGAACAGAAGGCTTTTGAGATCCAGGACTGCTCTCTTCTTTTCAAAGTCTCTTTTTCTGATTTTCATGATTGTGAAATGCAGCCAGATATTCACTGGAAATGTCTGTGGTAACATTTAGTTTCAGGCTGGTTTGGTAAGGAAGTCATTTAATTATTAACCTTTCACTACCGAGAAGCTAATATGCCAATGTGTATCGGTTAAAATGCATAAGCTACTTTTGTAATGCACTTTCATATCATAGGTTAAATAAACATGGTTCCTGCAAGGTGTGTTGCATTATATGGTCCCATATGGCAATTTATTCAAATCTTTTTGGGTAAATGTGTCAAATTCTTTCATTACTAAGTTTTTTTTTCAGTTACTTGGCATTTAGTGGTGTAGTAGATGTAACAGCTGTTCAGAAGAGAGTTACTGTATCTGTGCTTACCACAGATACTGTATCTGTATGATATTAATGTTTTAATATCCATACAGCTTTTTCAACACTACCCCTTCTAGAAAAAAATGTTCTTATTGTGGTGGATTTAGCAGCACTGTTTGTGCATTTTTCACCATGATTAAGGCCAAAATAAAATTCACGTTCTACCCACCCTACAAAAAGACAATAAGTCATGCTGTCTTTCCCTAAAGTGGAAGGAAAAGTCTTTACATAGATTAAAAACTGGAAAAAAGTTATGCTTTTGAAATTTGCTACTGGCGTGTAGATTAAGTGGATATTATCTTTTATGAGTTATGTGCTGTACAAAAAGAGAAAAGAGGCTTGCATTAAATATGGTCAATTTAGCTGGACTTTCAGTGAACACTAACATTTAGAAAGATTTGAGATTAGCATATTTACCTTTTATATGCTTCATAAAATATAACAGCGCAACATGTATTTCCCACTATGGAAGTGGTTCACATTCTGTTATTTCAGACTGTATAACAACAATAATGCTATATGTGAAATGCAAATCAACTTGCATTATCTTTCATTTATCAAAATTAACTAGTGCTATTCTTTGACTTCTTTTAAACATGGAGTTAAATGCTGTATTGATCTTTGTATTTGTACTGAATGTTTTTAAAACTTGATATAATCTATTTCTGTCCTATGCAACCTTATCTTTTTTTGAGTTGTTACTGTTCATGTTGTGTGTACCCCTTTTTCTCTTTAGCTCTGTTTGAGGTATTTAGTTGATATATAAAATATTGAACACAGAACACATGGAATACATGCACAAAGCAAAATGACATTTTCTGCCTAAGGTAATTGTACCCCCACATCCTTTTCTCAGCAAAACAGAGCTAGACATTTTGATGTCTTTCTACAATAAATGTAATTTTTTAAATCAATGATCACCTGGTCAGGAATTCTCATTTTATGTACTATGCATATTCATATTAAAACTTTGCTACAAAACAAATTCTGTGTCTTTAGCTTGATCGTAATGCAGGTACTGGTGATAACTTTAAGTAGAAAACACTTCTAGATGTTATGAATTGTGGTGCACTACATGCGATCAGGAATAACAGTATGTACATCATATCACCTTAAACAGTAAGCAAGTAAATGGCTGGTGAAGATTTAAGAAAATGCAGAGGTTAAAGTTACTTCAAATCAGCAGAAATACACTATAGTTTTCTTTTGTGTTCATTTTCCTGTCCATTTTCAATGAAATATTGTCTGAGTATTGGTAGAACTAACATGATTATAATGGAGAACTAAAGTAATGGGTTACAAACAAGGCCAAGCTAGATTCTTTATTTGCCTGTGACATAATGTGAGAATTCCATCTATCCTTTTCGTATCCCACAGAGACTTCAACTGCACATCCAGAGCTTTTGGTTCTGCACTGCCAAAATATTCTGTACGTTGTTTTATATTTCCTCTAGTGCTCCCAGGTGATTTATTTTGCTGAAAATCTTGAAGTCCCTGAGTTTACTTAATTTAAACCTGTCAGGATTTCAATAGCAGAATCATGAATTCCTTTAGACCAGTTAAAGGCGCTCTCTTTCATACATCCTCTAGAGAAGCAATATGTTGCACCATGATGACCAAAAATCAATGCCATATTTCAAGTCAGAACTAATGTATAATTTTAAAACGATTTCTCTTGATTTAAGTTCTACACTTAATCAGACCTCTTGTACGATTGTAGTTCGATACCGTTTTGTAAGGATATAAGTGTTACAGCTGTCCTTGCATAAATCAGGAGTCCTCTTCAGGACAGTTAGCAACTTAATTTATAGATGTATTCGAGGGTTTCTGTCATTTTCTCGTACACATGTCTAGAGTCTCTTATTTGGAACATCACCCCACTGCACCGTCTAGTTCCATTTTTTAAAGTTATTTTAAAAGGAAATTCTTTTCATTCAAACCTTTGTGTCAGATGTGTCACCTAACAAAATCTTTTGAATACAAACCATCAAAGAGTTTTCAGTTGATAAAATGTGGTCTGAAGACTACTGTACTGTAGTTTATAGATTCCCATCATAAATGTACATCTACTGATGGAAAGACGGTTTCTGGTACTGTAGAACATTTTATGAACTATTAAAACCAAAGCAGGTGTGTATTTCGATGTGCAAACCTAATGATGAATTTGTTTAACAAAAATAAAAAAGATCCAGGATTCATAAAGTCCTCGTTCAATTTTGTGCCCGACTGCCCGTTTTCCTTGTGTTTGCGGTGTGTAAACCATAAGAATGGCTGGGTGCGTCATGCTGCGAAGTGGCGTGGAGTACAGAGGCATTTGTCAGCTTGTTGTGGTGTTCATTGTTATCTGCAGTTCAAGGAAGTTTCTCTAATGTTTAATGATAATGTGCTTTTCAAATTACATTTAGCTGGAAAACTCATACTTCAAGCCATTGCACTGGTCTTCGAGATTCAGAGCTGCAGTTAATGTAAGGTTGTTTTTGTTGTTTTATTTTTACGCAAATATGAGCAGGAAACAAGATAAGATGTATCTGTCTGATTAAACAATCGTTGTTTCTTTTCGTATCTTGTTTCAGTGTTATTGTTTTTATGACCAATACGATACTGTTAATTATTTTTATTCAGCGTTTTATTCATTCGTTTCGTATACTGTATGTCACATGTTTCATTTATAGTCCCTATGGTAGTTATACATATTCCATTATTCTCCTTCAGTAAAATACTTTTGTCGTCGAAAAGACGTATGTTGCTTTCAGATTAAATCGAACGTGTTTTTTTTAAGCATTTGAAATAATTTAATATATGTATGTTTTGAAACGTTTGCTAACTGTAATTAAGGAACCTAAATATATATATTGTTTAAATCAAACCCATAAACATTGCCGTAGTATGAATGGGGCCGGCGCGCTGTGGTTGAAATTATTGGCTGTTGTTCGGGCTTTTCAGCCCTGGTGTCCGTAACTACTGTAGATACTGTAGATCAGTTGCTTTCAAATATTCTGAATAGGCAATAAATGACTTAATCTAATGTATGCTTTGGAGAAAACGATGAAAACCCTATAAGGAATGCAAAAAAAGACTACGAGGGAAGATAAATAGACACCGCAAAATCATTTTACTGTTTAAAACTGCATTTTCAAAATGATGTACTGTACTTTAACATGTCGTGTAATAAAGTGGAACTACTTTTCTCTACATAACGTGCACGATTGATGTGATGTTTTTACTAACTTGATATTATAGATATTAGAATAGTTCATACATGGTAAATAGTTCATAAATGATAAAAGACAAGATCTTTATTAAGCTTTGGCCAACACTGGAAAACGTTACTGTTAATACTGTTTAGAATATTATATTTAGTATTATTTATTTTGCATTGTACACTGCATTAAGAATTACAATTGTATAGACTCTGTTAAAGTTTGTCTCACTTTAGGTATCCACTGTGAACATGGAGACCTATGTTGTCTTAAAGATCGTTGGAGAAGGCTCCTTTGGGCAGGCTCTGCTTGTAAAGCCCAAGAATCAATGTGAGCAATATGTCCTGAAACAAGTTCGTCTCCCACGGGTAAGCAAGTTTTCTGTGAATCTGCACTTTCTGTTCATCTCACCAGATCAGCCTGTGCTCTTGTCTGGGGTAAATGTGGAAATATTCCAGATGCAGCAGGTAATTCATGCAGACGTGTCTTAAAAGCATTTCATGAGGAGCTGATCACTGTTACAATTTACATGGTTCATTTTAGACTGAGTCAGGAAAAGGACACTCCAGAAAGGAGGCCACACTTCTTGCAAAAATGAAGCATCCAAATATTGTTGCGTTTAGAGAATCATTTGAAGGTAAGATGTTTGTCCTTTCATTCATTCATTCGTTCAATTCAATTCAATTTGTTTCAAGCGTTATTGTCCCCTAGGGGAAATTTGTTTTACGGCACAGTCAAACACAACACAATGACAAAAACATATCATCAAAAAGGAAGAGAATACAGAAGTGTTACAGGAGAAAGGAAACAAGAGACAAGGTAGTTACTTTGCATTGTTTAAGAGTGTAATTGCAGTGGGAATGAAAGATTTCCTGAGTCTGTTGGTTTTACACCTGGGGTCACAGAGGGATGAAGTGTGAATTCACAATGGAGGGGGTGAGAAACACACTCCCTGATGCTTTTGGCTTTCTAAGTCACCCTCTGTTTTTAAAGGATGCTTAAGTTGAATTCCTGATTATTTTGCCACTTATATTCACTAATTTACCCAGCCTATTACAATTACAAGTACTTTTGTTGCCAAACCAACAAGTGTAGCAGTATGTTAAGAGTTCTGCTTGAAGAAAAAATAATATACTATTAGATGTTTCGTTTAAAAAAAATAGATTCGGCAGGATAATTCTGTGCTTAAGTTGGAAATTTCAGTTCACAAGTGTATGTCCAGCAATATGAACAAATAAAAACCCTTCTTACCGTTTCATTTTAAGCAAAGGAATCTCCAGAAGGTGTTCCTTCCATATCTTCTGTATTTGCTGAATTGCTCTTTTTTTAAAATCTCTGAGCTGGCAGTTGGAGACCTGTAGCAGTTTGTAATTCAGAACTTGTTCTAACATGGACAGAAGTTGCTGGCAGATTTGCTTCACTTAATCTTTGAAGATTTAAAAGAAACCAGGAATGAGTACTTTAAGTGTTAGGCCTAAATTAAGCACTTAAGTAATAATCATCAATAATCTTTATCCCTGTCTTGACAATATTGAACAGATTATGATCAGTATGTTCATAAAAGATTAATTAGCAGTCATTTCCAAGTGTAAACCCTCCTAAATATCAGGAACCTGGTATAGTATTAACACAGGCTCCCGGGTCTGTAGCTCTTGTGACACACCATATCATTTCTCACTTACTGATGTGTAAAAACAAATCTTTAGCTTAAGTCTCTGATGCAAAGCATGTAGGATCATCTGAAGTGTTTCTTGAGATTAATCAGTATTAAATCTGCTTTTGTAGCTGATTGTGGCAGACAGATTTTAATAGTGATGATAATTAGAAAAACATTCTAATATTTTGTATTAGAGTTGCAGAAAACAACTGAATCAAAACAAAGACTGCCGGTATTATTCAGTAAAATAGAAAACTCGCTCAGGCTAGTGGTGTATCAGTGGATCCGATAGGAAATATACTAGTCGTGGTCTTGGTGCTCTTCTGAAAATGTCACATCTGTATTTCTGTGTTCTGCAGCTGATGGCTATCTGCACATTGTTATGGAGTTCTGTGCTGGGGGAGACTTGCTTCAGAGGATCAAACAGCAAAGAGGGAAACTGTTCTCTGAAGATGTGGTGAGGCATAGCTCCAGGTCTTTCTCACAGTCGTGATTTCTTGTTTATTTCAATCTTTGTGTAGAACTCAGTAATGATGTGGTGTGCTTTTTTTTCTTTCCAGATTATAAGATGGTTTGTCCAAATGTGCTTGGGTACTAAGCATATACATGACAAACGAGTACTACACAGAGATCTCAAGTCCAAGGTAGTTGTCTCCCTTGTGTACAAGCTGTAGCTAGCACAAAGCCTTTATAGTGATTGGTCGATTGATAGATACATTAGCTAACATTAGTCTAACAAAAGGGCGCTGTCAATTTTTCATTTCTAACTAATTTCCAGCTCATTTTAAACCAAGTCACAGTGACAAAACATGTAGGAAATCAGATGTTTCTTTAGACAAACCTTTAGATGGCTTAGCTACCCAAGCACCCTATTATGTGGCCTAAAAATAATATGTGCTCCCAATTTATTTCTTCATTTTTAATCTGTTTAAAGTTAATTAAGACAGCCACTGCAGATAATAAACACCTCAGTTGTTAACTACTTTAGTGTTTTGGGTGCAGATGTGAATAACCCATCTAAATTGAGTTGGCTTGAATTTTCCATTTTGTTTAGACTGTCAAAATGTTTTTACAGAAGCTTCACTGAGCATGAATACCTCTTTTGTTGATACACTGCATGCAGTACGGTTATTTAATTGTGCTTTAAATGTGTGCTCTTCTTCTGTGTCCAGAACATTTTCCTCACAGACAAAGGTGTGATAAAGCTTGGAGACTTTGGGTCTGCCTGCATTTTGAATAAGTATGAAAATTTCAAGAATTTTACTGGGTTGTATGCTCATTCTTTCTGCAGAATTAATTATTTTTCAATACCTCTTCTGTATTGATAAAAATCAGCAGGATGAAATCAGGCTCATCTTTCAAATTTCTTAAGTGTTTTTAAAGAGTGTAAACTTAAGTTGTAGGGGCAATAAAACAAAAAAATATAAACAGTGAAACCTATTTAATACATTTAACACTGATGGTTATAGATCCTGATTGGTGTTGTTTTGAACTTCTGGACATATGGTTAATTATCAGGTTCATAATAGAGACTACTGTTGATTGGAAAAGCCTGAAATATATTGGTCTTCTTATGAAACAACTACAAAACAGCTACAGGGGAACATCTTCAGTTTAAGTCTGATGGATCAGATTTGTAAACTGGATACCAAGTATAACACAGCAAATATTCATATCTTTATAATCTTAAATATGTAGGTGGTAAATTATCTCTTGTTGATCCATATCTATCTTAAATCTACAAAGGTTATTTTGTAGTATGTAGGATTAAAGATTCATAATTAACACCATTCTTGTTTCCTCTGTTGTAGCTCAAAGGCCTACGCTTACACCTACGTAGGAACTCCTTATTACGTTTCTCCAGAGATCTGGGACAGCAAGCCTTACAATAATAAAAGGTAGAAATGAAAAAAAAGACTAGAAATACTGTAAGCATACTTACATTTTAAGAATTTAAGAATGATGACAAACTAGTGTAGTTAATTTGGCTTATCTTGCTCATAGCTGACTGGCGCTTATTGTTCAAGATCCCTTTAAAGTAGTTCTTGAAAGAACTCATCGAAATTTGAAAAAATGTACCATACCACTACCCTTTTTATAAACACATATTCTGTCTTGAGTGCTGAATGCACTTACACTCATTTTCATATGTTGGCCTAGGTTTTAGAAAATAATTGGTTTTATCATTCTTATTATGGCCATCCAAGAGAATAGATTTGTGTCCAAGAGAATGGACCTTTCAGGATTTAATGTATCTCAGTAAAATCTTAAAACTATTCATGTAGGAAGCTGTAGCATTGACAATTTATTTTAATTACTACCACTTTGTTGTCCATAGATATACATTCAGAAAGATGTTCATTCTAATTCCTAATCTTTTATAATGTAATAATGAAAACATAATGCAGTATTTCCTTGAGCAATATTTACAGTAAGTACTCACTGCATTAATTTTCTGTTACACGCAGTACTTTTGTTACTATGGAATCCTCCATTTCATCAATCAGAAGCTAAAGATCTACCCTTGAATAATTTACCAATTTACTAATCGATTGAAATGACCTGACATTGTTTGGAATGAAATTCAGAATCCTCTGTATTTCTCAGGGCCCAGTGCTGCAGAGCACCAACATCACAATTATTGTTTTTTTCTTCAAATAAGGAAAGCAACACTTCCAGTTTGGCTTCACAGCATTTAGAAATATTACACAAAAGGGATTTTATTGTTTTATGGCAAGACCGGTAAAATTATACAACGATGTTAATAAACAAAAGTAATTTACCCCAAAATCTCCCATGCAAATCAGGGTTAACATACAAAATCCACACAGATAGCACCCCAGGTCTGGAATTGAACCCACGGTCCCAGCACTTAGAGGTAGCACTGGTAACGACTGCGCCACTGTATCACTATAGCTTATAAACTTTACATTTTTATGGAAATATCTGACCTGGGAATCACCTAGAGTTATTAATCCTTCCTCCCGTCAGCTGTCAGCGTGTATACCACTGCCCTAGGCTTGGACTGTTAGCCCTTCATCTGCATGTCTATGGACAGCATGTTGCACTATTGTACTTTTTGGACACTCAATCTGTATATACCTATGCGTATTTTGCACATGTTTTATTGCTTTATAGTGACTTTGAGCATATTTTTCACACACCTAACTATATTTATTTTGTATTGCTGTACTTATTTTAATTTTTCATCTATTCTGATGTCTGTTTTTGCTTGTCTTGGGCTGGGCTGCTGTAACACTTCAATTTCCCTTCGGGATCAATAAAGTCTTATCTGTCTATCTAATCATGGAACAGACGTTAACCAGTCAATCTCATTGCCATCTCATTGTGATGCAATTACAGTGATGTGTGGTCCCTTGGCTGCGTCCTTTATGAGCTCTGCACCCTGCAACACCCGGTAAGGGCTGAAATATTTCTGTCCACGGAAAAGTGCTTTAGAAAATTGTAGATATCAGTTGTAGAAATGTATTACCTGTGGTACCTGTTGAACCTGGTTCAATGAGAATCTTCTCCGAGGCTACAGAGAAAGATTGCTGAAAAAGATCTTAAGAAGTCATATGTATCACAGTAACCCATTTCTGCTTATCTACAACTACAGGAAAGTTGAATACATAGGTAAAGCTTGAGTAGAAACATGGCAAAGCATAGCAAAAGACCTTGTGAAATTATTATGGTAATTGGGTAATTGTAATTATCATGGAGTGGTCACATACTGCATGTGAAAGTGGATGGGATTGCCCTTTTCTGTAATTTAAATGCTTTTTTGAAGGAAAACCTACTGTCATCTCATCAAAAGGGTTGGTTGTTCACTCACAAATGTTATGATTTGCATAATAAATGGCTGATAGATAATCTGATAAATCATTTTTAAAATACAAAGGTACAGTTCTGACTTAAGCCATCATTATTAAGCCAGCCATTGTGCTAAATTCACTCTGGTTTTCTGAGAATTCAGTTTCTCTGTGACTGGAATTCCCACACGTCTTCTTTCTGACTTCAGTTTCAGGCCCGCAGCTGGAAGAGTCTGATCCTGAAGGTGTGCAGGGGCTCCTACCCTCCCTTACCTTCTGCACTCTCTTATGATCTGCATTATCTCATCAAACACATGTTCAAAACTGATCCCAGAGACCGGCCATCCCTGAACACCATCTTGACCAGACACCGAGTCTCCAGGCTGCTCCGGAAACACATGCCCCCTCAGGTACAACAGCACATGCTTAGCACATGATTAGATAGACACAGCACGTGCCTCCAAGTACAGGTGTCCCCCTTATTGCTCAGAAGGACTGATGACAGCACACAAGGCAGATTTGAAAAGAGTCTGAGTATAATATAGAACAAAAAGAAATCCCAGAATTCATTACGTATGCCTATTACTGCATTTCCACAAATTGTATTTCATAACCAGCACTATAGTGCAGAGTGATCAAAGCAAGTACACTGCATACAGTAGTATTGGTAACCATGGTAACACCTGTCATCTCAGATAGGAAGATTTAAAATTCTTCTGTTTCTCTTTGTGCTGATTTTCAGTTTTGTTTTACATGAGGAACTTAAAACAAGCCTGATGCTGACAAATTTGATAGCCTTTTATTTTCTTCAGTGGCATTAGAAATAATTTCTGCTACAGTATCCTACAGAGCTATTAACTAATATTTTTGTGAGAAGCTGTTCTTGGCAACACTGTTGAAACTGTGGAGCATGGAATGGATTTTTAAAAAATCATGAAAACAACATGATAATACATTACCCAGAATGGTTAGGATAAACCAATTCAGGTATTATGTTTAAGTCTTTTTCAGCTAAACCATTATGAAAATAAATAAAACTGGTGAAATTTAACTAAAGGAAATACACAAACTATTCTCCAGTGTCAGCAATGGGATGCTGCTGACAGACAAAATGTGGAAACATTTGCTTACTTGTGAGCTGCAGGTTAGAGAGATCACATCGGATAGTGACAGGTTAAAACAAAGATCACAAAGATGTGTCAGATAAAAGGATTAGATACTCTCTTTATTAATTAAATGAAAACAAGCTGAGACAAGAAGTTCAGATGATATTTCTCAGCTGTTGTAAAGAAATGTGGTAAAGATATCTTCACCTGGTTGTGAGAACATGTTACCCTTTGGATCAAGCTATAGTGAAACAACCCCTATTGGTTTTGGTTCACTCTGTCTCTTGCTATGCAGTTTGTCAGTTCTCTACCTGATCTGCTGTATAGTGGGGGTGCTGGATCATAATGGTTTTAGTGCATCACTCAAGTGGGTGGTGCACTTCAGTGTTGGAAGAAGTAGGTCCTCTCCTATATGTAAAATACTTTGGGATTCGCTGGGAAGAAAGCACTATTTAAAAGGAAGGAATGATTCTATTTATGTCTTGAAATGTTTTGTGCAACCATTCCTACAGGTAAAAAGTTCTGTTTCTCACCAGTGGAAAAAGTATTAGCTATCATATCAGTTCTCTTTTTACTCATTTTTTTAAATTTTGTGATCTAGTCTACAACATTGAAGGATGATGTTTTGGACAACTACAGCTACAGGAGAGATCATGCTCAATGTCATGTCAGCTCTTGTTTACATTGTCTCAGTGAGAGCCGTGTGCACTGCCCTTTACTCACAAGCTACAGCAAAAGACATGCCTTTCAACTGATGACTCTCTGTTGGGATAGGCTTCACTGACACATTTGCTTAATGTCAGACGAAATACAGTACAACTTCTGCAGATGTCCATGGATAGTGTAACTTTAAGTTCATCAGACAAGGTGTTGATTGCAAGATTGAGAAAAGTGGCCCTGGTGTGAGCGTATGCATGTTTGTATTTGTGTCTTTCTGCCTTGCAATTGACTGTTGTCCCGTCCAGGTTGTACTTTGCGTCTGTAGCTTGCTGGGATAGGTTATGGCTCTTTTGCACCCTGAATTGGAAGAAGCAGTTAGAAAAATGGACGGATGTATTACATTAGTAACACTGAAGGGTGCTATCTTCTTGGAGAGTGGGACTGTCGTGACTAACTGGCATTTGTGTACTATCAGGTACAACTGGAAGAGCAAACTGGCAAATGGAAAAAAGAGGAAGGGGAACTGGTGGCCAAGTTTCTGGGAGAGAAAAGCCTTGAAGGAGCTACTTCTACAGTGGGAGGTTAGAGAAACCTGTTTTTTAAAATAAGGTTCTATTGTGAAAACTCCTCAAAAACATATGGTGTACAAAATTCACTGATAGGAAAATGTTTCAGCTGGAGTTGCTGTTTTGACAACTCTGTCATAGATATACAGTACTGCATTTCTACTAGTACTATATATTAATGGTTTACGAATACCTTACAGTACCTCTGGCAGTGTCTCGACTAGAGAGCTCAGTCTGCACTCTAAATGGGCACATTTACTGGTTGTGCTAGAACATTTCATTTTATCTTTAGTATTATTATTGAAAACTGTAACATCTGTCTTTATTCAGAAACAACAGCTGGACCTGATGTATCAGCTCCAGGGTCTTCAGCAGAGCCATCTCGCAAGAAATGGGATGAAGGCCCCTGCAATACGTTGTTAGAAGTCCTGGGGAATGCAGATCTTGTAACTTCGTCTACCATGGAGCCCACAGACATGTTAACGACGAACACAGGTACCACCAACCATTCCCATCCTGAAACAGGACTCCAACAGTTAGACTCAACAAGTGAATTTCAGTGGCAGCCAGAAAAGAACAGCTATTTCTTCTCCCATCAAACTCAAATATTGTTCTTGCATTTCAGGTTTCTTATTATTTGTTTGCATATTAAATTTTGCTTTTGTGTTTTGTCCACATTGTGAAGCACTATCCTGAATGATTTATAGATTTAACCATTTTACCATTCAACCTCTGTCCAATTGCCTCAATGCAATGTGTTTTGGGAAGCAGAGATCTAGAAATTTCACCATTTGGTGCATATAAGTCATTGGAAGAAGTCTTGATGTTCCTTTATGAGGACAGGGGTCACTTATACACTGTGGCATGTGGACACTGTTGTGTACTGAGTGGAAGCTTGGGACTGGAGGTCAGCTCCAGTACCTTTCAGATTGGGACTGTTTGCTCTCTGGGATCTTTAAGCACAGTTTGGCATCTCTTCCAATCTAAAAATAATTTGTAACATTGTTACTATTTTATCTTGTTGACTTCTGAATTATGTTTTTGCAAATAAATCCATATTTACTCTCTGTATGTGAGTACCCTTGAAGTGCAAAAAAAAAGGACCAGGATTTGAAGCCTGGGGCGTTTCTGCAGTGCTGACACATTGTGCACTTGGGCAGTGTGTTGAATGAGATTGTAAACAATACATTTCTTCAGAAAGGAGGAGAAAGATATTTGAGAAACATGGACAGAATATGTTGTATGAGTGAGCAGTGTGTTAACAGGAGAACTGTTGGTCGTTTAACTTCTCTTTTCCTCAGAATGGTAAGAATCTGGAATGGTAATGTTCAGCACTCTTTGTCTACAGTGTCATGACTGTGGTGTGTGTCTGAATCTCAGGAGGTCTTGAGTATCCCCGTTCCCGCCCTCGAATGCAGTGGGTGAAGAAACCACCAGAGCGACTGCTCAGTCTGCTGGAGAAGGCTCATCTCAGTGAGGCATTCAAGACGTACACTGTGTGCAGGCCAGGTGAGACAGAGAGATGTGCAGAATGGGCTTGCAGCAGGCGAGTAAGGTGGGCGCGGAGAGGTGCAGAGGAAGGTGTGTCGATTTCAGTCCCAGAAGAGGAGTGCAGACTCACTGAGCTTTCTGTTTGATTTGTACTTAATAATTAAAGATGTGTGATGTAAACATTTTGGACTCCAGTACTCAGAAACAGTGACCCCCACCAAAGAAAATATACCAGAAGATAAACCAGTTGTATTGTAAAAGAAAAAAATACTTACAAATACAGGGTCAGATTTTGTTGTGTTGAACATGTTTTGTGGTTGGGACTGTTTAAACACATAATATGAATCTATAAGATATTTTGGTAGAAGTGCAACACAATAAGTAATTGAGATTTAGGCTTATAAAATATTGTATTTAATTCTAATAAATAAAATAAACAAGTAAATCACAACAAGGTCAGTCACTAGGGTCAGTCACAGATTCTTGAATCCCTCATTGTCGTTCGGATACCTAGTCACTGGTCTTCTTGCTATTCTTACAAATTATGCTTTCTGAAATAGAGGAAGGATAACAGGCATAGTGCTATTCTTGGTTATTGTTTGGGCTTCCTTGCTAGCAGGAAGAATACTTTGTGTTTACTCCATTAATTCCCCAATTTTTAACAGTTTTCTATATTTACATTTTCTGCATAACATTTTACTCCTACCCAATCTGGAACTGTCAGTTGTGTCTCTACACTTGTCTCGGCCCACAGTGACATCTTTTGCTTTTAAAATCCAGTTGGTTTTTCGGTAAGGACCATGGAAATGGTAATTTAATGAGCTGCTAGAAAGTAAATATGTTGGGTGTGCTGATTGACCTCTCTTTCCTCATGTGTAACCTTTCTTTTGTTCTTATAAATCAACGAGGCGGTTTTTTCTTTCTTATTTTTTTGTACCCCAGCCAAATTTAACCCTCTGGTAGGGCCCCTGACACGGGGAGGTTGTGATGACACAGATGGGGACATAGAAGATAGTGTGGATTCCTACCGACTGGAGCCACGCTCTGATGATGAGGACACGTGAGTCTCTATACAGTCCCTGTCACTCATAACGGCACACACTCCCTCCATTGGCTGGCTAGTACTTGGATGGGAGATTGGAAGTAATAAGAAACTGCCTTAACATGGTATGGCAACTGAGAACCTTGAAGAATAAGCTTTTTGAGGTTCTTAAACCTCAGTCTTGAACTTGTGCTATGTGGTAATAGGTTATTCTATTAATCCACAGGAAATCCCCATTTTTAGAACACCCCTGCTTTCTGCTTTCTTGACTAAAACACCATAGTGCTGGCAACTTCCACAGTACTTCCTTGTGCTGCTTATGTTCTCATAGTGCAAAAGAGTTAGGTTTGCACTTGAGGATTTGTGTACATGGTCTAAAGAATGATGAACAAATCTGAAAGAAGATCATTTCCTCTTCTCAACTCAGGTTGAATTGTCGACAGTCCAAATGTTTTGCTTCATACTTGCAGGTTGAATTTTGTAGAAAATGTCCAGGGTGTCTTACTGCTTCAATATCCTTTGATATAGTTTGATTTTTACCATCCTGTGGAAAGGGTGTCCTTTGAGGTCTCTGTGAACTTAAGTTGGGGCTCAGATGATTGTTTCACTGTGAAATATCCCTAGGGTATTCTGTTTTAATTTTGGGCAGATGTGTCAATTATAGATCATTCAGACAGTTTTCATTATATTTATAATGCCTGGATAAAGTCTATTTTTCATCCATTCTGCTTTAGCTTTCTTCATGCTAAAGCTATTATTTGCTTTCCTCCTTCATACTCTACATGTATATTACAACACAGGAAAAAATACTAGCAAGTGACATTATGTCCATCCTGTTTCTTTTATTGGCTGTAGGTCATGACAGCTATTGTTAATATTACTTTTAAGGCCCTGCATTAGTTGCCAAGGCCACAAACAGCCTTTTCTGTGAATTTGTGTGTTTGTAACATTTTAACATATAACTGACTTACAGAAGCTCTTGTCATTTTCAGGGATTTTGAAGAGGAAACATTCTCCGACTGGGTGACAGAACTAGAGAAGATTTCCAAGTAAAACAAATGTGACACAGCCATTGCAAACTCTCCTACATTGAATAAAATATTAACTATTTTTCAAAATACCATGGTGTTAACATCAGGTTAACCTGCTTGTTAATGATCTAATTAAAGAAACAGATAATACAAATGTATTTAAATATAATATTTTCATTATGTAAATAAATAATACTGGTGTTATTATTTTGAATGATCAAACCAACAGAATTGGATATCACTGTGTATGAGCCTCATTTTCTTCCCCTGTTTTCCCTGAACTGCCAGCAACTGCAATATGATATAAACTGGCAAAATTTGATTATTTTTAAATAAGATTTATGATCACAATGTGCCAAAGTGCGTTTCATTTGTCTTTTCAAAATCCAGCTTTAGGTTTGAATTTTATTTCAAACTTTGCTACCACATCAGTTTTTGAATTTATTTTCAATAAATACTGAAAATGTTGTTGGTCTCTATGTAATTATTTGCAACTGATGTTCTTCCTCCAGTTGTCATTGAGATTTTGTTTTGGAATTTCTCATTTCTTCTCTTTTGCTTTTATTTTTTGCATTATCAAAGATATGCTTGTTTATGAGAGACAGATTATGTTATGTGTTCTTCTGTGATTTGTGTGGTGCCTTGTCAGCTTTGTGAGATGTGTCTTTTCTTCCTCTTTGTCAAAAACGTTTATACCAGGTGAGAGACTGTGAAAATTCAAGCACCCAGGTTACAGGTCACAATCTCAATCTTACTATCAGAAGACCCCTTTCATAACTGTCCTGAGGCCCAGTGTTTTCTTCAAAGTAGCAAGAAATGAATATTTCTTGAAAGAATGTAAACAATGAAAACCAAGCACCAGCATCTGTCTAGCATAACAGGTTACAAATATTATGAAATGTAAGAAACAGAACAGGTCAAGAATAACCAAACCTACAAATGTGAAAAAACTGGGGTTGATGTAGTCTTTTAATAATTTTCATTACACTTTAACTGGTATATAGTTTTACATAAGGAATTTAAAATAATTTAAAATGCTTTGCAGTATCATTCTGTGTGCAATATACATAACAGAAACGTTTTCCAAATATATCAGGAACCACTGAAGAATTAGATTTATTCTGGGTAAATTCTGATTAAAATTAATGTTTTATATTAATTTATATTGTTTACATATAAACATTATCCAAAGTATAACATTTACACAAATCCACAAAATATATATTTACTGCTTGGATACAGAGAACAATATCATATGTTTTGAAATAATTATTTCATTTATATGACCGTGCAGTACAACGGCAGAAAAATAAATATCATGTGTTAAAGATTTTGCGGGTACCTGTTTTCAAAACTTCCAAGTGTACTTCACGACTCTCATGTGCCATAATTTAAAAGGGGGAGGACCGTGCTAGATTTCAAACAATTCCACGGCTTTTTCAACAAAATAACATGTCTCGTCCGGAGCACTACAGAGTTTTTTTTTTACACTTTGGTTTATGTTTACATGTAAACAATACCAATTTATTATGTAAACAAATAAGTTTAACTTTTTCTTTCATTCTTACGACTGTTACAAAATGAGTTACAAGTTTCTTTCTCTGGCCAGTGGCTAAATGTCACAGGAAGTGACGGAGCAGGGAGGGAGGATATTTCGCAGTTTTCCCGCGGTTTAAGTGCCCTCTGAATCAGTTGAAACCAGAAGTACTTCTTGTCAAACGTGTAGGGGGGGGGGGATTTAACACCAACAAACAAAAAAGTATCCAAAGACAAAGACGCCGATTCCAGGAGTGGTTCTCCGCTATTACACTTGCACTCGGATCTTGTTAAAGCCATTGACATGCCTCCAAAGAGACGCAGCGCAGCTCCGAGCGCTCAGCTTTCTAAGGCTGCGGAGGATAAACACACCAACCGCGTCGGTGTCCCCGGGACGCCGGGTAGGATCCCCCAGCTCTCTCTTGAAAGGTAACAGCAGATGCCAAGAAATCGAAAATCTCTCTTGTTTCACGAGGAAGAGCTGGGTTTACTTGACCAGCTGTCATGCTGCGTGTAAACCTTTTGAGAGTGTGTAATGTAGGACCCGTTATGTTTGCCTTTGAGCCGCGCAGAGATTTAAGTCTCATGAATGAGGCTGACACTTGGGTTTTTCTGTTCTACTACTCATCTTCCGTATGCAAGAGGTGCAGGTACTACGCGATGTTTTTATTTCGTAGATTTCTTTCCCCTTTAGCCGGTGAAAAAGATTCCGTTTTTGTTTCCTGTGTTTGTCAAATAGGTTCCAGTCCTCATCAATTATACATTTTCGTCTTTGCTCCGGCCAAACAGACGTTCTTTACGTGTATATGCTTATGATAGATGGAGTTTAAAGTTTAGAAAGATATTCAGTCCCAGTTTGTGTTTAGTATGTAGGTGGATATCATGGCTGAAATATAACTAAAGTACGATAGCGTAAACTTAGTTTGTGCAGAGCGTTAGATCAGCAAAATGCACATTTAAACCTCAATATGAAGTCTCTAGTGTTTATAATGATATTTTAACCCAGCGCTTCATAGTCCTTTCCATGTTAAGATATGCCTCTTGTAAGATTTGTAAGTTAGATCACTTTTAGTGAGAATGGAGCTTCCTTGTGACCCACTGAAGTTTCTTAAAGATCAGAGAGGCTTCAATTACTTATTCTAGAAATCTATTTATAGATTTAAATACTACAATATTGTTAAAAAGCTGTCACCCACACCCCTTTGTGTTAGGTTCCTCCTGTTCTCAATTTTAAATCTACTGACCGTTTGTATTCTCTGATTAATGTTTTATTGTTGATTCTAAAAAAAAAAGTCCAGTAGGTTGTCTTTGTCAGTGCCTATTGAGGACTGTCTTAATTCGATACTAAAGCAATGGTCTTGATGCCAGTCGGATGTGAAAATACAACCCACTAGGATATTGCTATCAGGATCATTGTGATTGCACTGCATCAGCAGTTTAGGAAGCTTATTCTGGCTTTGCATGTTTACACATTTCTTTTTGCTCTGTTCTATATTCTGTCTCTATTAATTAACTAACTAAATGTGTGGTCTTTATCAGTTTATAGGGAATGTACTTGTAGGACATTAGCATCAATGTCAAAGTTTCTCTGGACTTCATGAATAAACTATCACTTTAGTCTAATTCTTACAGTGTGAGGATATTAAAAAATCTTGGACACTTTAGCACTTAACCACCTGTGTAGAATAATGTAATGACTTGATAATCTGCCTTATATGTGTACATCAATCGAGCAATATTTATTGTGTTAATTACAGCTTAAATAAGAACACATGGCACAAATTAATATTCCACTCCATAATAATAAAATAGTAAATAGGCAAATCTGCTTCATTGCTAAATACTGCAAGACGTTTCTGTTATCTGTTGAGGCTTAAATACTGCCATCAAACCAAATTATTTAACACTGAGAGGAAATATTGCTTTACAGCTTCACATAAGACTAATAAACAACTGAAGGGGAAGTGTTCAGATCAGGAATTTAAAACTGTCATAGTATGCAAGCTACCCCTGTACAAAACAAGAAGACTGAGAAGCAAGCACGGAAAAAAAATCATTAAGTTGAAAGGACTCTGCATGGATGAGCTCTGTTTATAACTATTCTTAATACACCTTTAATGATGCATCATTTCACGCCACCATACAATAAAACTTTTGAAAGAGACAGGTAACCATAAGTTAATACAACTAAAAGCTAGAATGTAAAAGTGAGTGGTCTGATGTGGACTGGGCGATCATTCCGCAGATGACGACAAAAAGTATTTTCTCTGAGCACCAGAAGGAAAAGCATAGATTAGATAAGATTTAATTGACCCATGCAGGAAAAAAAGGGAGAAGAAAAACAGCACATTTGACTATTACAAAAAATAAGAAAAACATTGCTCATTATACTATTAAAAAAAAAGCAAAACATTCCGCATCATTCTATTGCACAGTATAACACATAACAACATGTAACATTTATAACACATCACAAAAACATATTGCACTCAAGTGGGTGGTAAGAGTCAAAATTGTGTTTATCCGTGACATTTGCATTGACAGTATTAATGGATAGTGGAACAAAGGAATGTTTGTATTGGTTTGACATGCTGCTGAACTTTGGAGCAAACACTCTCAACATGAGTGACCCGCACAGGTAATGGTCTATGTGTACACCTAAGTATTAATATGAGTCAACCTGAGTGATAAGTTTGTTGTGGATTACTACCTGTAAGTGATCAACTGTTCTGGGATCAAAAACTATTTCTTTTTAGATCTAGATCTCCAATTGTTCTGAACATCAGCCTCTCACTTGGTACTGAAACAAGGCCCGTGTCCAAAAGGGGCAACCGATGTGTGTTTTCAAAGGATTAACGGTTCACAGGTGTAGTTAGGAGCCCAAGCTTTCGTCCCCTTTAAGGTGATGAGGAGCGTTTAGAACTTATCCATTTCGGATATGTTCGGGGAGGTTAAAACAGATAATTAATTCACATGCATTTTACTTTTGGTTAAAGTTGACTAACTGTAGTGAGGAGCATATTTTATGTACACTGAATCAGTGGATTTATCCTCCATCACACTTTTTTAGTAAGACTGTTGGTCTTGAAGGTAATTGAAGCAGTTTTGTGGTCAGACAAAATTCTCCTTGTGTAAAACTGTTACATAGGTTGGGATGCTTAGTTCTCACTGTCAAGAGACTGTAGGCTGTTTCTGTAGCTTATTAATTCATAATAATAATAATAATAATAATAATAATTGCTTACACTTATATAGCGCTTTTCTGGACACTCCACTCAAAGCCCTTTACAGGTAATGGGGACTCCCCTCCACCTCCACCAATGTGCAGCATCCACCTTTTTGTGGAGAATTGAGAATTGTATCATTTTATAGACTTCATAGCAGCATTGCATAACCGGTTCTTTTTTCCTTTCCAGTATGTAGTTAATAACTGCTTGTTCCTGTAGGAATATATTTATGGTTTGTCTGGTCTTTGCGATGTTTTTTTGCCTTCTCCAAATAAGGCCTTCAAGTACAACAGTTGTGGTGTAATGAGTTCTCCATACTGCAGTTTTCAGGCCAAGCTATTGTTGTTTCAGGCACAAAGACAAGGAGCCGCCATTTGTCTCGCTGTGCCAGGAGCTGAGAGTGACAGATGAGGTGTGCAACCTGGCCTGGAAAATATGGGAGACGATGGTGGCCTCGGTGGATATTGTTCTTGTAAGTACTGGAGAGGAAATATGATACATGATGATATGGAAGCCAGTATCCTAAAGGTGCCTGTCAGTGCTACCACCTCTGTAGCCTGACTTTTCAGATCTCAGAAGTTAAGCAAAGCTAGGCCTGTTCACTGCTGGGTTTTGGAGACCTCCAAGGAAAACTGAGTTGCCAATGCAAGTGATGGTAGTGGACCACCAGGTGGCAGTCATTCCCCTGAGCCAGAATTTCCTAAGCAAAAGCACTGGGGACAGTGTTCTGTTATCCTTTAGAATACCTTTAAAGTTAAGGTTCCCCTGTCATTGTTCTAAAGAATGGGGGTGTTCACCCCAGTGTGTAATGCCTCAATTCCATGCTGGGCTTGTGCAATCTGACCTCCCTTAAGTTCCTTCTTATATTAATTGGTGAAGCTGTTTTTCACCTCTCCACATGATCTGCTGTGTAATGGGCTGCGGGCGCAGAATGACTGCCATCTATCACCCAGGTGGGACATTTCACTGGTGAATGAAGTGGATGTTGTCCTGTATGTGAAGTGTTTTAAGGTCTTTTTGAATGAAAGGTTTTAATGAATGAGGCAAATTTGTATTTAAAAAAGTGTTGGTAAAATTCTGGTTATTAAACCATTTCAAGTGTAGAATTTTAGAACCAAAGGGTTTTCTGATTTTCATCCCTGCAGCACTGTAAATGTTTAAATATTTGATTCAGTTGCTATTTTGTTTTTCACTGTGCCAGTCAAATATGGTGCCACTCAGTACAATACCTCCTGCTTAGTCTGAATACCCTGTATTGGGGTGGCCTCACTGTAAATATAGCTAAAGGACAGTCTTGTTTATAAAACTTGACAACATTTATTTAGATAAGATCACTTTATTAGCCATATACAATTTCTTGCATTAGGAATTTGTCTTTTTGCATACCCCAACTTGCTCTCCATGAGACACACAGAGAGGGAGAAAAGCTTGGGGTCAGAGCGCAGGGTCAGCCAGTGCCCAGTGGAGTAGGATTCCTCTGTTTGTTGGCTGCAGGATACAAACCAGCAACCTTCCAGCAACAGGCACAGATTCTTAGCCCCTTATTTTATCTCTCTCCCTCCTTTTAATCTTCAGTTAATAATTAAGCGGATTCCTTATCTTAACTGAATAATTTATAACGTGTTTTTTCTTGAGACATTACAAACTTCCTGTCAGTGTATACTGCATATGTGATGGTCATATCCTTAAACACGAATTTGCAAGGATAAGGATATAAGAAAGACAAAAGGTTTACTGTTTGGTTGTTAGTAGCTAATATAAGGATCTCTTTTATCTTTTTTTTTAAAGTAACCAGAGTATCAGCTTCAGATTCTCATAACCTTCTGAGTAAAAGTGCCACCTATTGTTAAGTCTTTTAGTTTCCATAGGTTCTTGGGTTCATGTTATATAGTTGTTTCAGGAGAGGTTCATTTGTTTGACTTGAATATTGTCCCTCATAGTCATCGTCTTTATTCAAGAGCAAACAAGTTGATCTGTAGTCTGTTAATTATACAGTTTTAACATCCCTTGATACATCTGGTGAATTTTCAGGGGAAAATAATTAGAGGCTACATTGGACATAAACAAAAAAAAAATAAAGTAGGATAAGGAATGTATAAATGTGACCTACAAAAAAGCCTCTTTAATAAGAAATTGTTGTTGTATGTGTTCTGTATTTACACACTTTCTCAAGAGTCTTGATCAAGAAATGAAGGTAAAAAAGCTTATAGCTTTTAGGAATCAAGTTGAATAGTTTTAATGGATGTGAAATGTTCTAAAATAAAACCTGAAACATTCAAAGCCTGCTTGTTAAGTGAAAGTTTTGCCCTTGGAAAGAGACTGCAAGTCTTTATGCAGCAATGGTTCAGTTTAGTTTGTACTGTGAAACTCTGCATAATCCATATCTGCCCCTAGAATGCTTCTATTAAATACAAGGTTAAAAAAAACTCTTCCCGTTTTCTCTTTTGAATTTGCTTTAGGACACCAGCCGCAAACACTGGGGTGCCTGTATATTTGTAGCTGCTACAGACCTGGATGCCATGACTTTCACAATCACGGAGGTACAGAAGACAGTGGGTCTGAAGTGAGTATTTCAGTTTTTTCCACATGGTCACCCACTTACTTTCTCGTCTTGTTTGATCTGGGATTGACTGAGAGTCAGTTTAGCCCTTCCACCAAGATATTGGAGAAATGGAAATGTTGCTGGTGTGGTGTGAGTTTAAACAATGCCTTTAACTTCTTTAACAAGCAGTGTAGTATACCTGTATGCCGATGTACTGCATCTTCCTTATGTTGACAGAAGGAATACAGTATATGGACTTTCCTTTATTTAAAAGGTTAAACTATTCCATTTACAGCTTAAAATGTGGGTAACAAAACATAATATATTTTCTATGTGTGGATGCTTAACAGAAGCCTTCCTTTAGTAATTAATTAATAAGAGTGAATGAAATTCTGTTTTATTGCACACAGGAGGACATGATTTAGAACGTGGCGGGTGAAATAACAGCCATCTGATGTCCTGTTTATCTTTCAGTGTTGTTGAGTTTTTTAACCTTTTGAAGAAGATGGACATCAACATGGATACCATCAGTGTTAAAGTGAATACTGCAGTGTCCAGACTTGAAAAGAAGTATGAAGTCCTGCTAGCTCTGTTTCAGAGGTTTGAACGGTGAGTACAGCACTGTGGCCACTAAGGGGCTCCCTCACACTGTTTTGCAGACAGGCAGTGTTATTTGAAAGTCAAGAAGTGTGTTGTGAATGAAACTGTAAAATTTCACACCCTCTGTATTGCTGAACTGGTAATCTGTCATGTGATTTTAAGCTGGTTAGGTGGTTTAAAACTGCTGGTCAATTGTGAAAAATAAAAAATGTACTTATGCTAAATTATAACTTTTAAACAGAGATTTGGTTTTCTAAGATGAAAGGTATAGTTATTTATTTACAGTCTGCATCTGCACTCAATCTCTTTCTGTTCTGAACAACTATCCTGGATGAATCCAATACCATGGTGGCACTTATCAATTTGTATCGTGGTACATGCTTGATGTTTACTCTTCATACTTACAGGATTTTGTTCTTCATTTTTAGTTTTTTTTTAGCTCACTGGTGTTTTTGTTGCATTTCTTTCACTTAAGGCTTGACAGCTTAATATAATGAAAGTGTCTCCTTCCTGACTTTTTAGGTATGGTCTTTAATAGTTTTCAACACAGTGTGGCAGCAAACGTATTTATTTGGCTCTTTCAGAATCTGTAAAATCAATGAGGAGCCGACAAACATCCTGTGGTTCAGCACTGGTAAATAAGGGATTGTGGAAAAAAGACCTGGTGTTTGCACTTAAGCCCAAATCGTGATTGGTAATCCAAGCACTTATATGGTTTCTCTAGACAAAAGGTATTCAGTAAAACTGAATAAGGGCTTCTCACTCTTGGTCAGATAGGATACATTTTATTATAGCATCTCTAGAGGGCAGCAGTGATCCCTTTGAATTTTAATTTGAGTCGGTTGCTTCATTGAATGTTGGACTGAATGTATTTTAGTCACAGTATAAAAGAGTTTCATGTCCTGTACCATAAGTAAAGGTATGAAATAACCTGCTCACGTCATTGTTGGGAAAAGATGACTCACCTTCAGTGCTTAGCTTTATAATGCTTTAGCTTTACACGGAAATCTTATAGCTATAATGAGATTATTCTTCAATTTCCTTGACTCACGAAAGGTTGTTTTTGTTCTGTTCGGATTGGTGGATTTGGAACTTCGTCATTTGTTTTTTGTGCATCCAACTCAATAATCGTCACTTGTTAATTATTTTCCGTCCGCAGATGTGGTGTGAAAAAAACCCCCACCAAATTAACAGCTTCTTGTTTTTGGTGGTTAAATTGTTAAAGGCTTTTGCTACTTTATTATTTCATTACTTTACCCAAACCTCCTATTTCAGA